CTCGCCACACCAATTAAGACCTCGAGCAGTGGCTAAAGCAACTGACAATTATAGAAGGCATGCGGGTGACCGCAATGAACTATAAATACCGTGCAATCTGTGCATGTATCACCTTTATCTGCTCATATTACAGACTGTTCTACTATTACTTATGATTAAGGATTCCCGATGGAATCCGAAACGTCAGGACAATAAACCTCTGGTTCCACTGATCGTTTCTTCTTTTTTGAATTGCTCCTTACATTTATTCTTGCAGCCCGCTTAGTAAACTATAATTAAAAAGAATTTATGTTATTGTATACTGAAACCTCTTTATGGTGCATTCTTCTATCAAGGACGAACTAGGGTCAAAAGCATCGACCAAGGATCAAAATTTCATCTGCTGCGGCCTGCATATCCTCGCATTGGTTGTGACCACTCTGCTGCTGATTGGCCTGGCTGTCTGCATCGGTTACTACTTCGGAGCGGCCAATGTCCTCAGTGAAACTATGGCTGATTCAAAAGCGAAAGATGTGGAGGTAGTTTCGTGGCTGGAGGGCAACTCTTCCAGCTTTTCCGTCGGTCGAATACTGCAGTTTTTCGTTTCCAATGCTTTGAAGTTTAGCAAGTCCTCCATCTCGTCTGCGAAAACGAACATAAATGTGACAGTCTCTACCGTAAAGACCACTATTTTAAAGGTATGCAGAATGTATAACTCTTTGTCTTCACCTTCCTAAACGATGCTTTTCAAAACAATTATGACAGCGTTCTTCATGGAAGCCAATTGTAACCAGCATCAAATTTGTAGGGGATCCAAGCTGTGGGCGTGTTCAGTTGACTACAAATATCACGCGCACTTCCGTCTTGGAGAAGGCGAAAGACCACTAGGTGTTTATTCTGTACAGTAACTCTCTGGTGACCAGATTTCCCCGACGCATGGCAAGTTCTGCACCTGCACGCGTCGGTGCGCTAGCGTGCTGTATGCCTGAGTGCAAAACCATCATGCGAGAGTGAGTCACTGGCCGCTTAATCAGTTGCTTGGCCAAAAGCAGTTTTCGGCACCTGTGTTTGGCTGTCCCGGAACTAGACTGGGAACAACGACCATGTGACATCTTGTATGGCGAGGCGTCGGAGATGAATGGCGCTACCAATATGAATATAGAACAAGAGGATGACGTTTTAGGATTTTAACAGCAAGTCAGTTATTTCTTTAAGCAGAAAAGCGGTAGAATTAATTTCAATAATTTCCGTCTTTCTGTCAGGATACTATACATTTTTATAGAGGGAGACCTCTGGTAAGTCCTCTAATAATGCGTGTATATGAGCTGTATTACTCCTAAAATTTTGCGTTCGCAAAGTGTTTTTCAAGATCT